TTTAATTGGTAACTCTTAGTTGAGATATTCCAATCTTCTGAGCAGATCAAAGTATTTTTTATGTGCAATACACATAATTTATTGTAACGAGTAAAGTAAGTGAAAAGAATGAAATCTATGGTAAACTTTTTGAAAACGAAGCACAGAAAATTCCAAGTAACGCGGCATTAGCAAATAATGCCAGTAATGAAGTCTTACCTCACCCTTAAGAGCATAATCAATCGCTAGCTTATTGATTTTTACAAGCTAAGTGGACCAGGCGTAGCAATGGCATCCCCACCAAGTAGAAGGGAAGTTTGAGAGAAAAACATTAAGGAACTTCCTACTCTGCTTCCCCAAACAGCTTCTGCCCACCTACGGCTACCATCATCTTCTAGGTCACCATAAAAAGCCTGGGGCTAGTCTCCTTCTTGCCCTTCATTCCCTGCAATCCATTCTTCACAAGGCACCGAGAGTAACTTCTGAGGAAACGTTAAGTCTATTATGGCACGCCCCTGCTTTCGGTTTACCACTGCCCTTGAAGTCCAGACAGTGTGCCCGAGCCCAAGAGGCTCTGCATGACCTGGCCCCTGGCCCTCAACCTGACTCTCTTCCCTCACCCTGTTCCAGCCACGCTGCCCTCCGACTATGTCTGGAACACACTGAGCTCGTGGTCAGAGCTGTGTGATTGCGGTTCCTTCACCAGAACAATCTGTCAATGTTCTGGGAGCTCATCTCAAGGCCATCTCTCAGAAAAATCTCTCCTTAAAACCCAATCTAAGAAGCTGGGCCTCTCCCACCATCTCTGTCTCTGTCTCTCTCTCTCTGTCTTCCTCCCTCCTTCTTTCTCTCTTTCTCTCACACACACACTCATCACAGTACTCTACCACAGCACTCTGTTGCCTTTGCTTTAAAACACCTAGTGGTATCTGAATTTACCTTGCTCATCCCTCGATTCTAGAAGGTGAACTCCCTAAGAACAGAGACCACATCTGTCTTATTCACTGCTCTATATTCAGTGCCAGGCACACAGTAGGTGCTCAATAAATATTTCTTGACATCAATGAAGGAATGCACAAACTTGTATGAGGAATCAACTAGCCCATTGAATCCAATCACTATTGATTCTTACGGCTGATTTTTTTCTTTCTCAACTAAGTTTCTTTTTTTAAAAAAAATGACAAGCCCATATATATTAGACTGTTTCGATTAGTGTGCTATGAGTCATACCTGTAAAATGGAGCAAAGTGACAGTGAAGGTACATAATAAGTGCCTGGCTTCATAGAGAGAGGCGGTAAGAATCTGCTGCCCGTCCCTTCAAAACACAAAGGTTCCTCAGAATTCTGGTACAATGCACTTTTAGAACCAGACATTCCCCTTCAATTGCCCTTCACTCAATACTTTCTCTTCAATGCTTCACTTCAATGTAAATTTCTCAATACCTCCAGAGGTCAGTCTAGCCAATAACCATGGATCTTGGGGGAAAAAAAAAGGTTCATCAACCTTCAGATGAATCAAAGTACAAATAACCTGATGATCACCTTCCTTTCCAGGAAATAATCCGTTTTCTGGGGTGTCACTGAAAGGAATACAGATTCCTAAGCTCCGGTGACATTCCCAAGGGTTCCACTCGTGTTGCTCAGGTACCTAGTCGGCACTTGTCTCAATGCTCTACGATGAGACTCTCAAACAGTATGGTAAAACCTAACTGGGTAGGGAAGGCGTACTCCTCACTACTGAAGTTCAAAGGGCACAGACATACAATGGACAGGAAAT